AATCTCTTGTGTTTCCCACCAATTCCACTGTGATGAGAATTTTTAAATTCTGAAACATTTCAAACATGCACAAAAATAGAGAGATTAGTAAAATAAACCCCTAACTCTCTTCCTGCTCCAAGTGCCTATCACCCAGAATAAGAGCTCTGTAAATAATGTTTCTTTTCTGTTTTCCTTCCTCCCTCCAGGCTCTGACAGCTCCATTCTCTGTCCCCAAGCGCCATGAGAGGCCTTCTTTGCTGGCTGGTGTTGCTGTTTCTTCTTCAGCCCTGGGAAAGCCAGCTCCAGTTGGCAGGTGAACTGGGGCCCAGACCTCACCAGTGGGAGGAGGGGAGCGGAAGCAGGTCCTTCTTCTGCAGCCAGCTCCTCCTGCTGGGGAGAGGGAAGCAAGGGCTTTGCAACATATGGGACTGGGTTTGAGTTTCCCACTTCAACTTTCTGGGCCCCAGTTTCTTCATCTGTAGGATGTGGCTTAGTTTTGGGCACATGCAGTAACTGCCCATTGGGTTTTTAATTTGGAAAAATTATTTGAAAACATGAAAAAACCAGGAAATTTTACATAAAAATCCCTGTTTAGTACTTCTCTTGAAAAATCCAGGAATCTGCTAACATCCAGTTTGCAGGCGCATGGCAGCATTTGGATGGAGCTTCCTGCCCAATTAGGAGTGATAGGGGCCCTTTGGGTCTCCACCGTCCTAACCCAACCAGTTCATCCATGTTCCCTGCCTGGTCCCTGCAGGCTTTGAGTTTGCGACGCTTCCTTGCCCCCTCGTCAATGGGTAATACCTCCTCAGAATAGCCCTCAGAGCTGTAAGATGAGGGAATTTGTGAAATCTCCTAGCCCAGGTACTAGGCACATGCCGAGTGAGTGCATCTATCTAATCTGCGTTTGCTGTGCTGGGCGCTGTTATGCCGGCATAGCAGTATTTCCTCTGGGTTTCCCTGGGGTTCTCCTCGGAGGTGAGGCTTTGCTGACCTAGGAGAGTCCTCACTGATCTCCCCGCAGGTCCCAGGTGTCACACTGGGCCCCTGGATCTGGTGTTCGTGATTGACAGCTCCCGCAGCGTGCGCCCTTTCGAATTCGAGACCATGCGGCAGTTCCTCGTGGGCCTCCTCCGAGGCCTGAACGTGGGTCCCAACGCCACGCGCGTTGGCGTGATCCAGTATTCGAGTCAAGTGCAGAGCGTCTTCCCTCTCCGTGCGTTCTCGCGCCGCGAGGATATGGAACGCGCCATCCGTGACCTGGTGCCGCTGGCGCAAGGCACCATGACGGGACTGGCAATCCAGTACGCCATGAACGTGGCCTTCAGCGTGGCCGAGGGCGCGCGCCCGCCAGAGGAGCGTGTGCCGCGCGTCGCTGTCATCGTGACAGACGGGCGGCCCCAGGACCGCGTGGCCGAGGTGGCGGCACAGGCCCGCGCCCGCGGCATTGAAATTTACGCGGTGGGGGTGCAGCGCGCGGACGTGGGCTCCCTGCGCGCCATGGCATCGCCCCCGCTAGACGAGCACGTCTTCCTCGTAGAGTCCTTCGACCTCATCCAGGAGTTCGGCCTGCAGTTCCAGAGCCGGCTGTGTGGTGAGTTAGGAGGGTGCTGGAGTGAAGCTCGAACTCTTAATCCAAATGCTTGGATTCCTTTCCCACCACAGTAAATCCCATCCCGTGGGGTGGCCCCGCGCTTTCCAGTTAGAGCTGCTCTGACCTACCGCAGGCTGTGTCAGATTTCAGCGCTGACCACTTCTGCTCAGGCTCCATCAACAAGGAGCAAACTATAGTTTCTTGCCCTGCCCACCACAGCTTACCACAGGCTTAATGTCAAACTCCAGCACCAATCCCCTGCACACAAGGAACCAGTGATTCTCAAAGCTAAGAGAGATGAGCTGCTCCAAAGAGTCGTGGCCCTCCCACATGGGGATGGCTTCTTCCGTTATCATCTTAGCTCCTCCCACAAATGCTACAAGAGCTGTTCCAGTCACGTTTTGAGTTTATTCCGCCCATCTCGATTTAACACCTCTCCACCTCCTACCCACTCCTGCCCCTGCGTAGTCCTGTCTTAGCCCACTGACATGTCTAATTGGGTGCCTCCTCTTCTGAGCCTACTCACAGGGGCTCCTTAAGCCTTATTATTTCCCTAAGCCCTCCCATTTGGTATGGCCTCTCTCAAATTAGTTATTTACTTCTGAAAGCCATTTGAAGGTGATGCCTGCCTCTGACCCCATCCCCATCCAGCTCTCTCTTGTTGGAGACTTCTGCCCATCTGTTTCCTGCTGATTCTAGTCCTGTGTGTCCTCAGGGAAGGACCAGTGTGCTGAGCCGGGACATGGTTGCCAGCACCAATGTGTCAATGCCCCAGGCACGTTCCACTGCACCTGCAACCCGGGCTACAAGCTAGCAGCAGATAACAAGAGCTGTTTGGGTGAGAGCTACCCCTGTCCTGCAATGTCACTGCTCCTGAACTTTCTTTAAATCTCCATTGCCCCAACATCAGACCAATGAGTCTGGAAGGGCCTTTGGCAGTAAAAGCACACATCCATCGCTTTACAGACCTAAGAAAGAAAGGTATTGCTTGGGTTCACACAAGTCCCTGATGGGAGCCCACAGTTCAGTGTGCTTTCTGCCCTCTTTCTCGCTGTTTTCAGACCAGTCTCCAATTCTCCTCCCAAACTTGTTTCTGTTGTCCTCTTCTCTCCTCTCCTCTTCTCTCCTTTCCTTTTTGAGACAGAGTCTTGCTCTGTTGCCCAAGCTAGAGTGCAATGGTGTGATCTTGGCCCACTGCAACCTCTGCCTCCTGGGTTCAAGCGATTCTTGTACCTCAGCCTCCCAAGTAGCTGGGATCACAGGCACCCACCACCACACCCAGCTATTTTTTGTATTTTTGGTAGAGACAGGGTTTCACCATGTTGGCCAGGCTGATCTCGAACTCCTGACCTCAAGTAATCTGCCCACCTTGGCCTCTCAAAGTACTGGGATTACAGGCATGAGCCACCGCGCCCGGCCGTTTCTGTCTTCTTACAGGCACGTCCTTACAGTTTCTCTTCTTAGATACTGTTGGGGGGTCTTTAGTTAGGTGGGACTCCCCACTCATGCCGCCCGTTAGCTCTTTGTGTGCTGCTTACCTGAGCTGCCCTTGCTGCTCCCCTCTGCCCTTGAAAATCTTTCAAGATTCTCTCTCTTTTAAGAGATAGGGTCTTGCTATGTTGCCCAGGCTGGTCTCACACTCCTGGGCTCAAGAGATCCTCCCGCCTTGGCTTCTCAAAGTGCTGGGATTACAGGTCTGAGCTGGTTCTTCATTTTTGTCTTCTGAAAAGCTATGGCACAGAATACCTTGCTTATGCAATTGGGTTTTTTACTGAGTGCCAAGTTAGTATTAGACATTGTGCTAGGAGCATTACACACATTATTATCTCTCAGCCTCACAACAACCTGGGAAAAGAAATCATGTAATCCTGATAACCCAGATGTCAGCCAGGGTCTTCTTGTTTCTAGAAACTAAAAGTTGGCTTGAACTCTGATTTGATGACTGTTTAACATTCAAATCCCTCTCCAAGACCTCTGAAAATCCCCCAAGTGCTTACGTTCTGGTGGTCACCTCTTGCTGTGAGCCTCTGCTAAATTCATTTGATTTATGGATCCTCTCTCATTTCTCAACCCTGCACATGCTGTTCTTGTTCCATGCGTGTTCATCAACCTCTTCTTTGGTTTACATACTTGTATGCAGGGGCACACACAAGTGTGTATGTGCTAAGTAACTCATAGCGCGCACACACACACACACACACACACACAGAAAAACTCATTATAATTGAATATTAGACAGCTTTGTTTCTAAAAGTCCTCAGTCAGCCCAGTACAAGGGATTTTTCACGGGCAGCCTCAACCCACAGAGTTACTCATCTTCATACTGGCTCTCTTGTTCTTTTTTTTTTTTTTTTTTCTCTCTCTCTCTCTCCACTCTCATCTCCTTTCCAGGAACCCCAAATACTCACTTTTTTATACAGGGTAATTATCATGTCTCCAGTCCAGCTCTTGGCCATCTTTACCTGTCCAGACCATCAAGATGCTCAACAGGGCAATAGTTCCCCAACTTGCACAGAAGGAAGCTGTGAATAGCAATCATTCTTTTCCATTATATTCCCATTTTGCAAATAGAAAAATGGAGGCTCAGACAGGTAAAGTGGCCAAACCTGTCCTCTGTAAGTCAGAGAGCATCTTGAGGACAGGGGCCCTGACTAATTAGGTCAGGATTATTGGGGTTGGGGCCCAGGTATAGGTATTCTTACAAATTTCCTCAGGTGGTTGTGCTACCAGAGCTGAGAAGGGCAGCCCTGGGCATAGACTGACCCCATCTCTTCCTCAGCCATTGACCTGTGTGCTGAAGGAACCCATGGATGTGAGCACCACTGCGTCAATTCCCCGGGCTCCTATTTCTGTCGCTGCCAAGTTGGCTTTGTACTCCAGCAGGACCAGAGGAGCTGCAGGGGTGAGCAACACCCCCGCCCTCCCACCACACCCTGGACTGTGGCCTCCGAGGGCTCCAATCAGAGGCAACATCTTGCTGTTTCTTCCCTCCTGCCAGCCATTGACTACTGCAGCTTTGGCAACCATAGCTGTCAGCATGAGTGTGTTAGCACCTCTGGTGGGCCACGGTGCCACTGCAGAGAGGGCCATGACTTGCAGCCCGATGGGAGGAGCTGTCAGGGTGAGACGGCCTCTCCTACATTTGTGGGAGGGGTAAGAGATCTTAGCTGGTGGGGTCCATCCTGACTCATCCTGACCTGTCTCTCCTTTCAGTCCGGGACCTTTGCAATGGCGTGGACCATGGCTGTGAGTTCCAGTGTGTGAGCGAGGGCCTCTCCTACCGCTGCCTGTGCCCCGAGGGGCGGCAACTTCAGGCAGATGGCAAGAGCTGCGACCGTGAGTAACGGGTGGGAGGGCGTTCTATTGGCTTCTGCCCCGTTGCCCACATTCAGAGTGTCCTTGACTTTGCCCTTGCTGTGGCCCTTAGGCTGTGGTGTGAATGTGTGTGTGTGGTGGGGGTGACATTGGAGGGTATGCCATTCCCTGCCTCCATCTCTTTTCTACAATCCTCTATTCTGCTGTCAATGTTAATTTAAAAAATACATACTAGATTACATTCTTCCTTCGTGCACAAGCCTTATATGGCTCGCCAATGCCTACAGAAGAAAGATCAAATGACTTACCCCTAAGTGTTTCAAATGGTGAGCAGAACCACATTAATGAATAATGAAATCAAATCTCTGGGTTACAACCAACATTAAAAAAATAAAGAATGGAAGACAATATAGAGTTTACTGCCTGTAGAGTTATATTATTTCTGAAACTTTAGTTCTATGTGAAATGTCTCATGATGTATTATCATTATTATTATTTTTACTGTGGGCTGTGATAAAAAATTTTGAAACCACTGCCTTAGGTCATCACGATCTAGCTTCAGCCAACTCCATCTGCCCATCTCCTGCCACACTTGAACATTTCAGTCTTACTGGCCTGCCACTCCCTGGATGTGTCAGGAACTCCCTAGATCCCAAGCCTCTGCACATGCTGCATCCCACCTTCTAGACTGTCCCTTACTGCTTTGACAAACTCCTACTGATCTTTCAAGACTGTCTTGGTTCATTCAGGCTGCTATATCAAAGTACCATAGACTAGGTGGCTTAAACAACATTTATTTTTCACAATTCTGGAGGCTGAGGAATCCAAGACCACGGTGCCGGCAGATATGGCGTCTAATGAAAGCCTGTTTTCTGATTTTTAGATGGCACGCCTTTCAAAGCCTCCCCATGCCAACACACGCACACACACACACACACACACACACACACCAGTCTTCTTGCTGTGTCCTCACATGGCGAAGACAGGAAGCAAGCCCTCTTCAGACTCTTTTTTTTTTTTTTTTGAGACTGAGTCTCCCTCTGTTTCTCAGGCTGGAGTGCAGTGGCACAATCTCGGCTCACTGCAACCTCCGCCTCTGGGGCTCAACCGATTCTCCTGTTTCAGCCTCCAGAGTAGCTAAGACTACAGGTGCATACCACCATGCTTGGTTAATTTTTGTGTTTTTAGTGGAGATGGGGTTTTGCCATCTCAGCCAGGCTGGTCTCAAACTCATAACCTCAAGCGATCTGCCTGCCTCGGCCTCCCAAAGTCCTGGGAGCCACCAAGCCTGACCTCTTCAGATTCTTATAAGGACAGTAATTTTACTCATGAGCGCTGTACCCTCATGTCCTCATCTAATCCTAATTACCTCCACAGATCTCACCTCCCAAGACTAAAATTAAAACATAGGGTTTCAACCAATGGATTTTGGAAAACACACTCATTCAGTTTATAACAAAAATCAGATAGAATGCCATCACTTCCATGCAGCCTTCCTTAACAACTCCAGGAAGAATGCACTATTCCTACCTCGGGGTCCCTGAATGCTCTTCTCTTCTAGCACTTTCCTTGACCAGAGCATATGGCGTGTCTGACTTGCTCTGCTCTGTCCTCATGGATCAGGATTATGTTTTAATTCTTTCAAAACGTTTCAAAACCTCCCCACGCCAACACACACCACATTTTGGTCCTAGCAGATTCCCTGGCTCGGAATAGGGGAGGTGACATTGTAGAGTCATTCAGGAGCATGGGTTTTGGAGTCAGACGGACCTGGCTTCATGTCTTGGCTTAGTCAGTACTAGCTATGAAATCGGGGGCAATCACTTTATCCATCAGAACCTCAGGTTATAGAAAATGGGGACAATACTCAAGCTTATTGGGAGAATTGAGAATATATATAAGCACTTCACCCAGTACCTGGCACATCGTAAGCTGTCGGTAAATAATGGTTTTGTTATTATTATTGTTAATACTGGTACATGCTTAGAAGTGTGCCTGATACATAGTAGATGATCAATAAATGGTAGTTATTGTGGTCATTATGATTGTTGTTAAAAAGATGCTTTTAGCAGAGTGTCTGGTTTGTTCTAAGCACTGAATAAATGTCAAGGGCGATGATGATGATGATAATGTTGATAATTATTATTATTTAGCACACTGCCTGGCACAGGAAGGACTCAGGAAATGTTATCTGTTATATAATAAATGTTTGCGAATGAACGACTAGATGGATAGACAGCTGCTGCCAATCAAGAATATGGTCCCTCAATTCAAGCTCTTCTGGCTGTGCAGGGTGCCGGGAAGGCCACGTGGACCTTGTTCTGCTGGTTGACGGCTCCAAGAGCGTGCGTCCACAAAACTTCGAGCTGGTGAAGCGCTTCGTGAACCAGATTGTGGACTTCCTAGACGTGTCCCCCGAGGGCACGCGCGTGGGACTGGTGCAGTTCTCGAGCCGCGTGCGCACCGAGTTCCCTCTGGGTCGCTACGGCACCGCAGCCGAGGTGAAGCAGGCGGTCCTGGCTGTGGAGTACATGGAACGCGGCACCATGACAGGGCTGGCGTTGCGGCACATGGTGGAGCACAGCTTCTCAGAGGCACAGGGTGCGCGGCCCCGTGCCCTCAACGTGCCTCGCGTTGGCCTGGTCTTCACAGATGGCCGCTCCCAGGATGACATCTCGGTGTGGGCAGCGCGTGCCAAGGAGGAAGGTGGGCTTGGCATGGGACACAGTGGGCTGGGGTTGGGTCAGACGCGGGCAGGCAGCTTTCCCGAGGCCTAGGGCACCCTCTGAGTCCCTGGCCCTGTAGGCATCGTCATGTATGCCGTGGGCGTGGGCAAGGCGGTGGAGGCGGAGCTGCGTGAGATCGCCTCGGAGCCAGCTGAACTGCACGTGTCCTACGCCCCCGACTTCGGCACCATGACGCCCCTGCTGCAGAACCTCAGAGGCAGCATCTGCCCAGGTGAGCGCATCTCTCTCGGGGCTCCTCCTGTCTCTCATTGCCCGCCCTCTGATATCTCCCCTTCCTATTCAATCCCTACCTCCTCTGTAGTTATAGCCAGAGGTTAGGCTTACTAGACAGAGCTTTGCTACTCCAGATGTGGTCCGCAGGCCAGCGGCAGGGCGGTCACCCAGTAGCTTCTTAGAACTGAGGCGTTTCTGGTGCTCTCCAGACCGAATGAATCAGAATTTGCACTTCGACAAGATTCTCAGGTGATTTGTAAGCATATTAAAGTCTAAGAAATCCTAGACTAGGCTACCAGTCCCCCAAATCAGTGGAGGTTCAGAATAATTTGGGAATTTTTTTTGAAGGCACAGCAGACAGCATTTGTAAGTGGAGTCACAGCATATATCCCCTGAACTTGTTAGAATTCAACCCTATGAACTTGGCAAAGTGGCAGGACTGGGTATATTTTAAGTATGCAAAGGCATGTTTTTTTCTTTTCTTTTCTTTTTCTTTTTTTTTTTTTTTATGTGGACAGCATACCTCATAAGTGCAATCCCTCTACTTCATCGTCTGGTGCTCAGCTGAGGAAAAGGAGACTAACTCTACTTGTGGAGGAGAAGGGGGCTCTTGAGTCCTGTGTACTGTGCTCTAGGTGATATAGGGAATGTCTCCAGGGTAACTTTTACTCTAGAGACTTTAGACACTAACCCAGGCTTAAGATGTGATTCTTCTTCCAGTTTATCGGGCTCCAGCTCCAGAAACAGACGAAGTAGGGCTGGTCTGGGTCTGGAGAATCTGTCTTTTTTTTTTTTTTTTTAAATATATGTAGTGGAGCTTGGCGCAGTGGCTCATGCCTGTAATCCCAGCACTCTGGGAGGCCGAGGCAGGTGGATCACTTGAGATCAGGAGTTCGAGACCATCCTTGGCAGCATGGTGAAACCCTGTCTTTACCAAAAAATACAAAAATTAGCTGGGCAAGGTGGCGGGAACTGAGGCAGGAGAATTGCTTGAACCTGGGAGGTGGAGGTTGCAGTGAGCTGAGATTGCACCACTGCACTCCAGCCTGGTGACACAGTGAGACCCTGTCTCAAAAAAAAAAAGTATATATAATATGCTATATGTGCTGTATTATATAATATATATGTGTGTATGTGTGCGCACACACGCACGTGCATGTATATACATATACAAATATACACACACACTCCTTTCCCCAACTCTCCTCCCTTCCCGCCTCCCAGCTAATTCTAATTATTGTGGCTCTTTCAGATTAGGGGCTCTTTCAGAGCTCTTCCTGTGCTGACTCTTACAGGCCCTGCAGTGTGACTTTGGACAAGTCAGTTACCCCCACACCTACCTTAACTTTTCTGTAACAGGGGAGGCACTAGCTGTCCAAGGTTACCTGTAGCTCTTGAGTTCTAAGAGAAGTCTGGGTTCTGTGGTCGAAGCTCTTTACCAATTGGTGGTATGACTGTTCCCTGTCTCCAACCCCTTGTTTCTCTATCTCTGAAGTTAGGGGTCTTTGTGGATTGTTATCAATAACAAGACTTACAGCAGTTTGTTCATAGTACATATAAGACTAAGATGAAGACACAACTTTTAAATCATTACAGCAGTGTTTTCAAAGGTTAAATGGCAGGCATTGTGTTTATTATTTCACTACCTGTAATCCTTTTTCTTTTTTTCCTAAGGTACTTTTGTTGTAGCTTTTTTTTTCTGCGTTATTCCCTGTAATCTCTCTCTCTCTCTCTTTTTTTTTTTTTTCTTTTGAGATGAAGTCTCATTCTGTTGCCCAGGCTGGAGTGCAGTGGTGCGATCTCGGCTTACTGCAACCTCCGCCTCCCAGGTTCAAGAGATTCTCCTGCCTCAGCCTCTCGAGTAGCTGGGACTACAGGCGCGTGCCACCACACCCAGCTAATTTTTTGTATTTTTAGTAGAGACAGGGTTTCACTGTGTTAGCCAGGATGGTCTCGATCTCCTGATCTCATAATCCACCCGCCTCGGTCTCCCAAAGTGCTGGGATTACAGGTGTGAGCCACTGCGCTCAGCCTCCCTGTAATCTTAACAATGACACATGCTTATAGAATTTCAGTGAATCTAAGATACCATTCATTTTAAGATTCACCACTATTTTATGTACTGCTAAGAAAAAACATGTGCCAATTTTAATTGTAAGACCTCCTGCCCAACCCCCAAGATGTTGATGTGTGGGGAGATAGAGTTGGATCAGGGTCAGTGGTTCCTAAAGATTAGGTCACACCAGAATCACCTGGTGGGCCTTTAAAAACAAATTGCGGCTGGGTATGATGACTGACGGCTGTAATCCCAGCACTTTGGGAGGCCGAGGTGGGTGGATCACGAGGTCAGGAGATCAAGACCATTCTAGCAAATACAGTGAAACCTGTCTCTACTAAAAATACAAAAAATTAGCAGAGCATGGTGGCACGCGCCTGTAATCTCAGCTACTCGGGAGTCTGAGGCAGGAGAATCACTTGAACCCAGGAGGTGGAGGTTGCAGAGAGCTGAGATTGCGCCACTGCACTCCAGCCTGGGTGACAGAGCTCAAAAAACAAAACAAAAACAAACACAAATTGCTGGGCTTCAATTCTAGATTTTCTAATTCAGTAAGTCTGGGGTGTTGTCTGGTAATTTGCGTTTTTGATAAATTCCTACACGATGCTGATGCTGCTGGTCCAAGGACCACACTTTGAGAATCACTTGTCTAGTTGAAATACACTATAAAGCAGTGGTTCACGATCTTTCTGGCACCAGAGAGTGGTTTTGTGGAAGACAATTTTTCCATGATGTGGTGGGGAAGATGGTTTTGGGATGATTCAAGCACATTACATTTATTGTGCACTTTATTTCCATTATTACTTTGTAATATACAATCATGTAATAAACAGATCATCAGGCATTAGATTTCCATAAGAAGGCTGCATGCACTAGATCCCTCACATGCACAGCTTACAATAGGGTTTGTGCTCCCATGAGAATCTAACAATGCCATTGATCTGACAGGAGAGGAGCTCAGGTTGTAATAGGAGTGATGAGGAGTGGCTATAAATACAGATGAAGCTCCCTTGCCTGCTGGCTGCTCGCATCCTGCTATATGACCCAGTTCCTAACAGGCCATGGACTGGTACTGGTCCATGTAATGTGCTGGTACTGGTCCATGGCCTGGGGGTTGGGGACCCCTGCTGTAAAGTATTTACTTGAACAAGGCAGTGTTCTAGATCTGTGCTTTTTCACAAAGGTAGGCAGTATCTATTTAATTACAATTGATTAAAATAAAATACATTTTAGTCCTTTAGTAGCACCAGTCACATTTAAAGTGTTAAACAGCCACATGTAGCTTGTGGCTACTGCTTTGGACAGGGCGGGTGTAGAACACTTTCATCGTTGCATAAAATTTTATTTGGAGAGTGCTACTCAAAGTGTGGTCCGCAGACCAGGAGCGTCAGCATCATTTGGGAGCTTGTTAGAAATGTACCTTCTGAGCTCCTTCTCCATTCTGAATCAGAATCTATATTTTAACAAGCTCTCCTGATGATTACAATGAGCATTAAGATTTGATAAAGAGTCTTGTAAGTTTCGCGTGCGCGCACGCGCGCGCGCGCACACACACACACATACACAAGTGAATGAATCATCGAAGCCACTAATGCATACATTCTTTCATTATATCCATTTTATAGATGAGGAAACTGAGCTTAGAAAGGTTAATGAGTTTTTCAGTATCTCACAGCTACTTAGCTTGGGACTTAGCCCAGGTCTCTCTGAATCCAAAGCCCATATACTCAACCATAGGCCCAGTGCAGGGAAATCAGAGGGCCAAAGCTAGCGCAATTTCTCATCCCCCTGACCCTCTGTGCCCGGCTTACAGAGGAGGGCATCAGCGCAGGGACAGAGCTTCGGAGCCCATGCGAATGCGAAAGCCTCGTGGAGTTCCAGGGCCGCACTCTGGGGGCGCTCGAGAGCCTGACGCTGAACCATATCCTTTGGGGCTGGTGGCGCGGGCTGGAGGGAAAGTGAGGGGACCTCGGCGAACCCCAACGGCCTCCTTAACCGCTCACTGGCCCAGCTGACGGCGCGCCTGGAGCATCTGGAGAACCAGCTGGCCAACCAGAAGTGAGGGCCACGGGCGGCCCAGACTCAGGCTGGGGCGCGGCACCATGGACAGTGCGCCGGGGCCAGACAGAACCTGGGCCCGTCGCACTTGGGCTGTCGGGGCGGAGGCGCTGGCGGGCTTCCGACACTGAGCTGAGCTGGCCTCGCCCGGACCATTAGGCGGACTGCTGGGCCAGGGGGATAGCGGGTGGTGGCGGAAGGGGCACGTGCTAGACCGGCATGCCCTCGCCGCGTGCTGCGCTCAGTTCTTTGTTGGATTTATTTGTTTTCTTAAAAAAAAAAAAGAAAAAGAAAAAAATCTGATTTCCACAGGGTTCGTTTTTGGGGCTTGCTGCGCCGCCAGGGGGAGGGGAAGCCAGACGGAGCGCACTCTGGCGGCGCCCGGGCGGCGTCTCCTTGGAGAAAGGCGCATTGTGAGGGGGTCGGGCTTGGGGGCAGGAGACGCGGCGCTGCTTCTTCCCCCTGCTTGTTTATTCAGCCGAGAACAGATGGCTCCTTATGCAGGCTGCAGGAAGGGAGGGGGCTCAACAGGAATCCTTGGGGTCTGAGCAAGCCTGCGCCATCCCATTCCCCAGCGGATTGAACGCTTCGCTCTCCGGCCAGGCCTATCCCATCGTGCCCCCAAATCTGGCTCAAAAGCTGCTAGGACTGTGTGCTGGTAGGGGTGCGGGGTGGGGGTGGCATTGGTGGGAAAGTGAGAGGCAGTAATTGAACCCCTAAATGGATGGCGTGGGAGTGGATAGATGAGCTTTGCCCGATTTTAACTCCCTCCTGTACTAGGTAGGAAGAGAAGGAGGTATCAGGACCCCTGTCTGCCCAGCCTGTGGCCTTCCTTCTGTCACCCTGCCAACCCCTCCCAAAACAGCTCTATCAGCAAAGAACACAAACCAGTACCATTTCCCAGGTGCATGCAAGAAACCACGAAGTTTAAAATGCTTCCAGTCCTAGAGTGATTTGGGGAAAATTATTTTGTGTTTGTTTCCTCATCTGCAAAGTGGAGATTGAAATTTTTACCCCCAAGGGTGATGGGGAGAATCAAGGACATTCTTCTAAGGCATGTGACATTGTGCCTGGTACCTATCAGGCCCTCAATTAATGGTAGCTGTTAACTATTCTTATAGTAACAGCTAACATATTTAGTGTTGGGCGTTATTGTAACTGATTTGCGGGTATTTTCATTTTATACTTGCAACCACCTTGGGAAATAAGAATTATTGCCTTTATCATCCCCATTTTACAGATGACACCGAGGCATAGAAAGGTTAAGTTTCCAACAGTAAAATAACCAGTACGAAGCTGAACCAGGATGTTTCCTGTGGCTGCTCTAATAAGTTACCACAAATTGCGTGGCTAACAGCACACATTTATTACCTTACAGTTTTTAAGTCAGAAGTCTAAGATATATTGGCAAGGGTTTATTCCTTCTGGAGGCTTTTGTTTCCTGGCTTTTTCCAGCTTCTAGAGCCTACCTGAATTCCTTGGGTAATGGCCCTACATCACTTCAGCCTCAGTTTCCATCAGTACATCTCTCTCTGACTCTGAGCTTCCTGTCTCTGTCTAATAAAGACCCTTCTGACTGTATTGGCATGACCTTGATAATCAAAGATAATCGTACCATCTCAAGCTATTTTTTTTTTTTTTTTTTGAGATGGAGCTTTTGCTCTTGTTGCCCAGATGGCTGGAGTGCAATGGCGCGATCTCAGCTCACTGCAACCTCTGCCTCCCCAGTTCAAGCGATTCTCCTGCCTCAGCCTCCTGAGTAGCTGGGATTACAGGCATGCGCCAACACTCCCAGGTAATTTTTTGTATTTTTAGTAGAGACAGAGTTTCTCCATGTTGGTCAGGCTGGTCTTGAACTTCCGATCTCAGGTGATGCGCCTGCCTCAGCCTCCCAAAGTGCTGGGATTACAGGCGTGAGCCACCGTGCCCGGCCTTAAGCTCTCTATCTTAACCACATCAGCAAAGTCCCTTTTGTCATGAGAGGTGAAATCACAGGTTCCAGGGATTAAAACGTGGACATCTTTGCAGGGAAGGCCATTCTGCCTACCACATGAGGCTTGAAGCCAGGCTGACTGACTTCAGAGCAACTGCTCTTAAGCACTCTGTGCCGGGCACCTTGCTAGGCTTGGTGAAGAGGGAGAAACTGACGATTGAGAAAAACTCTTGAGCTGAGGGAGCTCCTGGCTAGAAGGGCTGAGGTCCACCTGACTACACCTGTAGCAGAAAAAAGGAACTTCAGATGAGAGGAGGGAGAAATCCTGGAGAGGTGATCCTTAAATGGTGGCTGGAATTTCTGCAGGAGGCCATGGAGGACTTTACAGGTGAGTGAAGCACGAACTACGTGTGCTCAGGAGGGTCTGGAGTATGGGGAGATGGGAATGATCATCTTACTTGGTCATGAGGATCAGATGAGCTAAAGACCTATGGACTTGGCATGTGACCTCACCTTGCCTTATCATTCATTTTACAGTTGGGGAAACTGAGGCCTAGAGGCCAGAGTTGCCTGCCCAAGATCACATAGAGAGAAAACATCAGTTGCACCAGGAAGAAACCTGGTGGGGAGGTCAAACTGGAGCAGGGTAGTCAACTGATAGGGGGCACTGAGAGCAAAGGCCAGGCTCCTTCTCTTCCTCCTCCCTGGAGGTGGCCGGCACTGGCTTCTCTGGGGATTCTTTTCTCATGTTCTTTTCTCCTGCAATCTCACTAGTGGCCACTGGATGGTGCCTGGAGCTCTGATTTGGAACTGGGTCCTAGAGCCTTTGCAGGCCTTTGGCATCTGGCACTTGGGCTGCAGAGCCTGTCCTTCTTTAATTCCCCCACTCTGGCAGCCCCACCGCCAAAGTCTACAAGCTGCTTCTGTTCCCATGCATTGGCCCCATAGTCCTGGATTTGAAGACCAGCCCTGCTACTTACCAGGTGTGTATTGGTGTTGACAGGTGCTGGTTCCCTGTCTTGGGAACCTTTTCCTTTTCCTCCTACCCCCTTTACCCTGCTGGATATAATGGAATTCCTGTTCCCTAACCATGCCCCACATAAGGTCATCTAGCCCTTGCTTCTTTGTTTATACCCCCATCTTACGTCATGGGATAGAAGACTTACAAAGGACTTATGAATTCAGGAAAACAAACATCCACTAACCCAAGAACAGAAAGTGAGAACCCAAGAAACAGTGTGAGGAGAGTAAAACTGCCAAGAAAGCTTAGATGCAGAAGGCACTGAGCCCAAAGAAAGACCCCCGGGCCTGGGTCTCTTGGTGCTCAGGCAAGCAGGGGTTTATGTGACTTTCAGAGCCGATTAAAATCAGAAACAAAGCACATACATATTGGGGGAGTCCTGAGCCCAGCTGTGTGGAGGGAACTTAGCGCCCTCAGCCCCCTTGGTTCCCTGGAGAGTTTGAATCATTAAAAAAAGGACAATATCTTCCCTAGTGGTTGGCAGAGATGCCACTTCTGAAGCTGTTACTTAGACTTAATAGCATGAACTAGACATGGCCTTGGGTGGGAAAGTGCAGGGCAGGAAGGGCCTGTAACTTCAGCGAAGTGCTGGACTCCCTTTCTGAATTTCACCTCTGTGCTGTCTGGCTCTGTTTCTCCGTGGTTTTTGGCCTTTCTCTTCTTCTATTCTAGCTCACAGCTCTCACCATTTCTGCAGCTGGCACAGCTGCTGTCTCCAAGGGCAGTCTCCTCTTCTGGCTCTTTGGACCTAGGATAGTGAAACAGGAGAGAAAACTATCAATTACCACACTGGCCCGCATGCTGGGGGCCAGGCTGTGCCTTTCATCTGCATTGTCTTGTTGAAACCTTTCAACCTACAGGAGGAAAAACGAACTTGAAAGAGGCCAGTTAGTTGCCCAAGGCCCAGAGCTTCCAAGTTAGGGTTTGAACCCAGATGGTCTTGATCCCAGAGTAGGCCCATTTCACATTTCTACCCTTCAGTTATTAGGGACAAATTTGGACTTTTTCAAAGAAAACTTTTTCAGGAAGCTTATGGAGCAGACCAAAGCAAAGCCCCAAGATACATTGCAGGTGAATGGCAGGAGCCACTCTGCCATTCATCAGCAGCGCAGCCTCCACGGACACTTTTGCCTCAGTGTTCCCTCTTGTAAAACCTGTGGGCAGGCCAGGCATGGTGGCTCACACCTGTAATCCCAAGCACTTTGGGAGGTCGAGGCAGGCAGATCACAAAGTCAGGAGTTCAAGACCAGCCTGACCAACATGGTGAAACCCCGTCTGTACTAAAAATACAAAAATTAGCCGGGTGTGGTGGCTTGTGCCTGAATCCCAGCTACTCAGGAGACTGAGGCAGGAGAATCACTTGAACCCAGGAGACAGAGGTTGCAGTGAGCCAAAATCGTGGCACTGCACTCCAGCCTGGGTGACAGAGGGAGACTCTGTCTCAAAAACAAACAAACAAAACCAAAAAACAAAACAATAGCAACAACAAACAGCCTGTGGGCAATGCCAACCTCATAGGTTAAAAGGAAAGAGCAAAGTCATTGATGAATGTGAACATGCACAGTGGATGATCAGGAAGGCTCCCCTTCTTTTCAGGCCGTTACTTGCCCTTTTTTCACACCCTCTCACTCATTTGAAGTGGTGTGGCTTCAGATCCCCAGGCCCAATGAAGAAACTGGGCCACATCACACAATGAAAAGCAAATTGCTGTTAAATATACAGAGGAGGGTATGAGCAGCTCAGCTTTATGGATCCCAAGAAGGCTTCCTGGAGGAGGTGGCAAGTGAGCTGCACCAGCGAGGAAGGGTAGACATTCCCCAGACGATAAAGGAGGAGAGGGCTCCTGGGCACAGGGCTCGAGTGGCTTTTCAAGGGCATGTGGGGAGGGTGAGGTTGGAGAAGACAGTCACCCTCAGTCCCCAACGTGGATCATGCTGCATCCCATGACAAGGGCTTGTGGGTTAGTGGCTCTAACTCACAAGACTTCATGGACTTATGAATCACCTGAGGGCCTGTTAAAAATGCAGCATCCTGCAGTGGGGCCCAGGAATCTTTGTTTGTCCCAGCTCCTGGGTGACACTGTGCAAGTGATCAGAGGAAGAAAGGAGACACAAAGCTTCTGGTGATGGACATGAGAGCTGGGCAAGGGCTCAGTGTCCTCCACCAGGCAGAGGAGCAGACTAGGGTCTCAGGATCTTGAGTGTGGGCGTGTACTAGACCCTGTGCCCTGAATTAGCAGATGTGAGGAGCTAAGCTGAGAAACAGCAAATGGGAAAGCAAATGTGAATGCCAGGGCAAGTATTACAACTTTGTTAGGAGTCCCCAGGGGCTGGGCAGAGAAGACAGGTTCAGTCACAAG